AGCTCAGATTTTCAGGTAGCCAAAAGAGGAACAAAAGCTTCGTTTGCCATGATGGAACTTGAATTGAGCTTTAGGGTCAGATTGTGTGTATGAAATTCTGGGCAAAATTTAAAGCCTTCCACAATGTAAGAGGTTGTTGGTGTTTTTCTGGATATTCAGTGGTTGTTAACAATAGTCAGTGGAGTTTGATGAAAAGAATGTGGGTCATAAATCAAAAGATCTGAGTTTGGGACCTGAGCCAGCCACCAGATTCATTTACTCTTTCATTGATCAAACACTCATTGAAGAGCTACTATGTTCCAGACTCAGTAAGAGGCACTGGGTAACACCTATGATCAAGATAGACATGCAGTCCGTGCATACATTGAGCACACGTGTTTGTTGAGAAGACAGACAAGTTACTAGGAGCTACAATGAAGTGTGAGGAAGAGTGAGAGAGTCCAATGGTGATGAGAGTTTACATGACCTAGACTTTGGTATGTAGAGTGGGGTTGGTTCAGGAAAAGCTATTTACCAGCAATTACATCTAAACAGAGAGCAGAAAGATGACAATTATCAGCTGTTCACCTCGGAAAAAAAACTACCATCTCTCTCAACTCCAGTTTCTTATCTTTAAAATGGGAATAATAATAACAGTTCAGACTAGGAGATTGTGATGATCAGATAAACAACAGAGTTTTATGATAAGTGATTTGTTTAAGCCTAAAGTGCTCTATCATTGTAAGGAATGGCAAATTGGAAATAATCACTAGCAGATATTGTTATTGCCAATCCTAGAGTCTATTTTCTTCTTTTTACTTGAAAAGATTTGGCTTCCCTGAGAATAACAGGAGTAGAACACCAAATGATAGATTTGGGTGGAGAGATTTAAAATGCTAGTTTCTTCACACACAGCTAGACCACCAAGGCCCTCAGGTAGGAAAGAGGGTGGAAAAGGGCCCTCTAAACCACTGAATGCACCAGAGGGGATGGGCTTCACTCCGGGCTCAGCTAATGGAATAGCTGATCAAGAGGCTTGTGTTCTGGGAACCTCATTAATATTGATAGGGGACTGAAGAGTTGGAATATTTTAGTTTAAGGTAAATAATTATAAGGCTAGTAAGTAATGCATATGTTAAAGCTTTTGTTTCAGAAACTACAGATAAGGCCTGTCCTGGCTCCTGGGAAAACAGCTGACCTCCTGGGGCACTGTTAGAGATTACCACCTGGGGACAAGTGGAGGCATCCAGGCCTTTGTGTTCCAGGGAGACAGCTGACCACTGCCCCTGGGGACAGCTAACTGCCCAGGACAGGAATATTGCTGTTTCTTTCACCTAATCCTCCTTGAACTTCAAAACCCTTCACCGCACCTTGTTTATTCCCTGTTATAAAAACGTTGTCCTGGAAAGAAAGGACAAGCTGGTCTGTTAGGGTATGAATCTGCCATCTTCTAGGATCACCAGCCATCTGAATAAAGCGCTCATAAAGATTCGATCGCTGTCATTGCTTATTGAGTTTGGTAGTGACAGGCAGCCCGAATGCCAGGGTCTTTTCCAGTTTCAATATCACAAAGGCTTCATCTCATCAGAGGTAAAATTGCCCAACTTGCCCAAAACCAGGCTGTGTGCACCTGTATGATGTTGTGAGATACTGGGAAGATTCGGCTCTAGTCCTAATATTCTACCTGTTGGCAGGGGAACCGCAGCAGCCCAGTAATTCCCAACGTCAGCAATTCCTGGTTTATTGAGATTTAACTGTGCGCAGTGAGTGTATTTTGCCCAAGGCCCACTTTCCTCTTTTGATTTAATTATGATCGTGGTTAAATTTCGTGGCATTTTTCATGTCCCTCTGCTGGTCTGGAAACACTATAAATATTTACCAAATTCGAAGTTAGTTATGGGAAATAGAAACAGCACTCACTGTCTCTGCTATTTAGGCAAATTTCCTTTCTCTTTTTGTGTCTCATTTCTCCTATTTGCATAAATAAAGGTGGAAGAAAAAGTGTATCCCTCACATGCCTTCTGCTATCAACATTCCACAGGACTATGCTGTTTGCCTCTCTTTTTCCTGCCTACATTTTCAAATCATAAGAACTTCTTCTTGTCACTTTCCTTTTTTAGACTTTTATTGAAAATGCAACTGCCCCCAGAGGCCAGATCTTGTAGCCTTGGTTGCTATTTAAATCTGTTTGACCAGAGAATCCTTGTTTAAAATTACATTTTGTTAATCCATCATATGGTTGAGGAACTTACTATTTTTAATACACGCTCTGCACAGCCCAGTTATTCATGGCTGAGAGTTTGCCACAAACAGCTCCAGAGAAGCTAGAAGAAGGCTTCTTTCAGAAGCTAACATAATTTGGGAGTGGAAAAGTAGAAGGGCAGTTCTGCTTCTAAGTGGGACAGCCGTTTAGAAAGGCAGCATGTTTCTTTGGTCTGTTTGATGCTGCAAGAACAAGTACTGGAACAGCCTACTTTAGTGCTCACTTAGCTGCAAGACTCCACTGGCCTTTCCTGAGTCATCTTTCCAAACTCCAGAAATGTGCACTTTCACTGTAAGACCCAGACACCCTTGGATATCATCTAATAATTATGCTCTCTTTTTCTCTTCACTTTTCCTTTACCCTTCCTTCTCTTAGGCCACATAGCATACGCAAGGGGGAAAAAGGCATGAAAATATAAGCACTTAATTAAACTCAAGCAGAAATGTCTATATTTATAACAACTCATAAGTGATTGCTAGGAAACCATAGATGGCTTACATTCAGATATTTAATTGTAGCAAATATTACCTAAAGCTGGCTTCCTGGACCTTGAGAAATGGTATTAGTTTTTTTCATTCATGTATATATCTATTCATTCAAGCATATTATTAAGGTCGAAGGATGGACTACAAACCGTATTAAGTGCAGTGTTTACAAAGATGGAGACATGTCACTTGCCCTTGAGGAGCTCACAGTCTAAGGGCCTAGAGGATAAAACGTCTCCCAAGAGACCAATTCAGGAAATTATGGTTCCTTTCTTTCCTTACTTTGCTTATTTTAAAAAAATATTTATACCATTTTATCAGATTCCTCTAAGAGCATCAAAAGGTATTTAGTTAACTATTCAGTACATTATCTAAATATATAGGTTCATTGAAAGTCAGTGGTTTATAGAATTCTGATCTGGCTGAGGGAGGAGAGTAGGACAGACAGTGAAGAAGAGAGACCACTGACTTATTCATTCCAAACATTCAAGACACATGGCTAAGGCACAATCAGAACAACTCCTGATAGCCATCTATTTTCTCTCTGTGAATGTAAGTATCACGAGGAAAGTAAAAACAGGGAAGAGCAATGCCTCATGCATGCTTTTGGAAATGAACAAGGAACGATTTGGCTTTTTTTACATGAATTATTTTAAGTTGTATTATGTAGGTTGGAGGTTGTTGCTTGTATAGATGAACTAGGGTCCTTCAGATTCACGGAATGACTGTGGCTCAGCCAGCTGTCTCACAGATTCATCAATCATGACAGAAGTATTGACAGATGGGCACGGATCAATTTTTGTTGCCTTTCCAACCACTCGCATGGCTTATACCACTGCCCAAGTAGTGGGAATACAGTATCATGGCAGTGCACGTGGCAGTGCAGGAGACCTGCAAAAGCCAGATGCTTTAAGGAGCTGCCTCATTAGTCCACCAGCATTTATCTCGGCATACATCCACCCTCTTTAACACTGAGTGGCTGAGAATGCTTGTTTCAAACAGAAGGATACTGAAAGCAAAATCAATTAACTAGTTAGGCCGAAGTACTTTACTTATTATTTGATTCAACAAACATTAAGGACCCTGGTGCAGGGCTAAATGCTGTGGGGAAAAAGTTTATAACAATAGTAGTAGTGAACATTTAAATACTTATTATATTAGGCTCTGCACTAAGTCTCTGGCCCATTTTATCTCTTGTAATCCTTAAAAAACCTATGAGACAGGAATTATTATTATCTCCATTTTGTAGGGGAAGGTATATGGCTGAGCCTAGATTAATTTTTTGGTCTAACAAAACAGTTTGTATTCTTGGCTATGAGAGCCCAGGTAAGAAATAAAAAAGGTCTTGCCTAAATCAGGGACTGCAGTATAGAGAACAGATGGATTTTGGAGAATTACTTTTGTTTCTAAGAACCAATAGGTCTCCTAAGTGTTTGAGTCAAAACCTCATAAGCAATAAAAATACCTCTTAGATCCTATTCAGACTAAAGAACCATGATTTAGAGGGAACCTGCCAAGTCAAGTAAGTATAACTCCATTGCAAGAACTATGTCCTTTGGCTTCTTTGGCTTATCACTGTCTGCCCAGATTCTGGCACTCTGCCTAGCAAATAGCGGGTGCTCAAATTGTATTTGTCGAATGAGAGAATTTTCACCTTGTCATTCAACAGTCATTGGAACCTGAAGCAATTCCTCCTGCTCTCCCTCCCCCACACCCACACTAGTTTCCCTAGCTTTATATTGGAGCAGGCAGAATCGTATTAACTCATTATATGTTAAGTTGAGTAAGAAGTTATCCAGGAAAATAAATTACCTCGGGCCAAGGTAAGTGATACTATAATGGCTAATTCCCATTATGAGTCTATACAGGGGTGGGTGGGCACTCTTTTTTTTTTTTTTTTTTTGATGCCCTTAATCCTGTCTTGTTTGGCAACCTATGCAGAAGGCTGGTTTCATAATCCTTAAGGTAGGTTCTTTCATCTAAATACATTGGGGTTCTTGAGATGGAAACGCTCCCATAGAGATATCCTCGCCCAGGACACCGCCCTTAAAATCAGATTGAGGAAGACTCCCTTCTCCTAGAATAAACTTGGCAAGCCCTGCCCCGCAAGGGGGTGGAGGCAGAAAATGAATACGTCCACACCTAGCTCATCTGCCCGAGCACAGACTGGCAAGTGGCATAGGCGCGCAGACCTCTGTCATTTATTTTTCTTTCCACTGGGTGCGCTGTCCCTTTAAATGGGGACGCTGGTGCTGGCTCGGTAACACGGGAGCCGGCAGCTTGTTGATTTCAGAGCTGGTGAATTTCACATTGTTTCCACTTCACTTTCCTCGCTCTAGGGGAGGATTGGGTTGGCGCTACGGCCGCTGTCGCTGCTGCCAGCGAGGGCTAGGGGAGGGCAAGGACCTGCAGTAGCAGGGCCGGCGTGGGGCCGCAGGAAAGGGTGCTGGGGCCACACACGCACCCTCGCTGCAGTCCGGCTCCTTCCGAAGCCGGGACGCCCGGAGCGCACCCAGCAGGGACCGCCCGCCTAGACGCCCGCCCTCCAGCCCGCCCACGGGCTGAGGCCAGAGCCTGGGAGCCGGCGAGGGGTGGAGGCCCAGGGGGGCGGGGTGGGGGGCGGGGGTGGGTGCCGCCGCCGCCGCGGAGCTGCTACTCGGCGCGTTTTGCATGAAGATGGCGGCTCCCACCGCCAGCAAGGCAGCCTCCTTGGGCTGTAACAACAAGCCTACGTTCCCGGAGCTGGATTTCAGGTCCGGGGCTCGGGTGGAGGAATTGAACAAACTCATCCAAGAATTCACGAAGCACGACCAGCGGGAATACGACGACCAGAGAGCGCTGGAGATTCACACAGCCAAGGATTTCATCTTTTCCATGCTGGGTAAGAAGGAAAAAGGGGGAGGTGTGTATGTGTGTGATGGGAAGCCGGGTAGCGAACCCATTCCCCCTTCTTGCTCTTTCTTTCCTTCTTGGTTTTCTGCCCGGAGTCGGGTGCCTGGGGGTATAACACTTCTCTGTTCTGCCTCTCCTCCTCTTTCTCCGCTGCAAGCAGAGCTCCCTTATCTCTCCACCTTACTATACTTTGCGCCTGGTCCCTTTCCTCTGCTGTTCACTGGCTCTTTTGTTAATTTCTTACCGGCCAGGGCTGGTGGGCGGTGAAGTGTTCCTGGTGAAAGGTCTCACCGGTGGGGGGGAAGCCCTGGAAGCAGCGTTGATCAGGTGAGACCCCGAGGCGCCTTTCTATGAAGGGATCTGGCCCCTTAGGCTGGGATCTGCGCCTTCCCTACACGGAGCCTCTAGTCGGTTCCTGAGCTTGGGACCTGGGGATAGCTTGGGGCTTTGGCTCAGCGCCCGAGCGACAAGTTGCTTCTCCAGTCCTGCGGCGCTGCGCTGTCACGCCAAGCCCCCGGTGGCCAAACTTGTTGGGTGTTTCCTAGTAACCCGCAGAAGTAAGCTGGGCGCCGGGAGTTCGCAACTTCGATTTATAAATCGACTTCCCTTTGCAGCGGTCGGAAGCATTTCCGGTGCTTCCCCGGGGCTCTGGCGGAGCTCGGAATTCCCAATTCCCTGACCCCTTGGGGCGCTGGCCCCCTCGTCTTTGTGTACGGTCGTCTGGCCCAGAGACGTGCCCTGAGGTTAGAATCTGGGAGACGTCGGGGTTAGAAATATGCCGCCCACTGCTATTCCCGGAACCTAGCACCTACAGGTCTTTAAACTGATTGTTGAATGGTGTGTGAAAGAAAATAATGGCCCGGGAGACCGAACCCCTCCTCAGGTGTCCCGTCCTTCGCATTATTGCTACTGAGGTGTGGTGTGAGTGTCCGCTGTTGGGAGCCTCCTTTGCAGTTTGCGGCTCCACCAGTGCCACCTTGGCGGGTGTGCAGTACGTGGCCTGGCCGTTAACATCCCGCCGATCTGGGGTCTCTGCGCGTTCTATCCTCGGCCAGTTTTCCAGATAGTGGAAAATTTGATTGAAAAAGGTCTTCGACCTAAGAGGAAGACAGAGCGCTTTTGCCTTTCTCCTGCCCATCTGCTTGGATTTCTGCTGGCTGGCTGTTGTTGCCGGTTCTGTCCTGGGGTACCTTTTCCCTCTCAGTTTTCTTACTCTCCGAAGCCCGGGGACGGGGTGGGGAGTAAAACAGATTGAATGTGTCGACTGTAGTAGTTGTAATGCTTTCAGAAGTTGGATAAAGCAGATTAAACTTGGGGCTGGATTTTACCGTTTGCTTCACACTCCCTAAGTGTAGCCTAGATCGTGTATGGGGTTGAAAAGGTCTTTATTGAGATATTTAACAATTCAACTCTTTAGATGAATTAATTTTTTTAATTGATGAGAGAGAGAGAGAGAGAGAGAGAGAGAGAGAGAGGAAAGAGAGAAAGAAAGAGATTTGTTGTTCCACTTAGTTCATTCATTGGTTGTGTGTGCCTTGACCTGGGAGAACCCCCAGTCTTGGTGTGGAGGGTGTTCTAACCCACTGACCAACCTGGCCAGGGCTGTTTTTATTTTTTAAATGATTCCTAAACTTGGTGGGAGTGAGCTTCCAGAGGGAAGCTTACAAGCTTACAAAGCTGCCAGATGTGAAAACCAGCACAGTGATTGTCAGGAGGGTGGGGGCACACAGAGAGGGTTCAGAGCAGTTATTTAAGTGGCTTAATGGGGGCCTTTCTCTCTGACATAAATGATGGAAGTCTGCCAGTGTGTTGTTATAGCCCCTGCATTGGTTCTGGTGTCTCCTGCCCTGGGCCTTTAGAAAAAGATGCTAGGTCACTACCAGTCAGGATAATCTTGGAAGAGAAAATGGGAGGACATGGGGAGGGGTAAGTTTACATGCCCAGCACATTAGGAACCCCTCCACTAACCCCACAACTAATACACGAATGCAGCAAAGCCTTTATCCAGGTGTGAAGGGTGTTATTCTTGGGTGCTTAATTTACATGTGTGTTTAACGTCAACACAGTGCTATTGTGTTGACAGGTGAACTAAATTCTCTTCTATTTCTTTTTACTCAATTGATCTTGCAAAAGAAGTCTTTCTTGCCCCCTGAGAATTTGAGAGTCCCACCTGCAGGAGAGGAAAATCAGGACAGTGTGTCATTTAAGCCTTTTGCCCTTCTGGACACTAGAAGGCAGATGGTGAAATGAGCTTGCCTTGTGTGTGGCGCTACATTCATTTGTGAGTTCCTTGCTTTCCCTTAATGAGGTGCTTGCTGGGAGCTCTAGACAACTGAAAGGTTGGAGACAGCAAGGGTCCCTGTGTGGATTTACTTTTTCTAAAGTGGATTTTCACTTGGCTTAAAAACCAAAATCTTTTTCGTGCACTTTGTTTGTCTCACTTGCCATGGCCTTGAGTCTTTCATGAATATGCGGAGGAAGTATCTTAATGACCCTCAGCTTGTTAAGGTGTCACTGGCATGGCACCAGGCCTTTATTTCTTGGAGTTATAGGGGGGCTGAGTCCTCTTGGCTTTGTTCTGCCTCTGGGCTGTACCTGAGGATTGTCAGCAGTTTAAAAACATTATCCCCCCACACAATGAAATGGCAGAACAATTTGGTGCAAGGCTCTTTAATGGAGCTGTGGATGAGCTATCTGTTTTTAGGTGGTTGGCAGCCACTCTCTTTGTACAATTGTTAGCTCTGACTAAAGCCCCCCAGCTTCCCAAACCTTTATCTGTTTTTCTAGTTTGGAGGCAAGTATATGCAAAAGAAAAAGTGGTGGTGGGAATTTGTCATAACCAATGACCTTTCAGCGTATCCGTGCTGGGTTCTGCATAGGCTGTGGAGTTGATCAGAGCATGCTGGAGTCACTGTGGTCTCCGTGGCCTGTCCTGACATTCTCTGTACAGAGATTCTTTTGGAGGCAGGTGTTATGTGGTCATCTACACTTCTTATTTCTCTACACCTTGGTCTTTTAGGAGAGTGATTGCTGTTATTATCTGGTTAATATTTGAGAGCCCAGATTGTGTGAGAGGCTGACAGTGCGTAATAAACACCATTTATCAAAATTCAGGGAAATTGCCAGAGTTCATTAATGTTTTAATAATATTTGATATTTGCATAATGTCTCTATCAGCTCCTTTGTTATCTTCATTCCCTGGTGAGGTCTGGTGGAGACTGGTCATGTCCCCGTTGAGCAGATGAATAACAGGGGGTTGTGCAGAAGTTAAGAGAAGCCAGGAGGGAGACGAGCAGTCACGTAGACTGCCTAAAGTCTGAATGGTCAGTACCATGGCCTGGTTATTAGAATAGCTATAAATCATTGTTTGCCTTCTGGATGCCAGGAACTTCAAACAACCTAAAGAGTAATGTTTTCTCATTGCACAGAAGAGGATATTGAGACTTACTGGGGCAAGTAAGTCATCCAGAGCTCTATGGCTAATAAAGGGTAGAGATGTGGCTAAAACACACACGGGCCTGACTCTTAACATGCCCCTCTCCTACCTGAAACTATTAATAATAGATGCATTAAGTCCAGAGAAAGGTCTTTGTTTAAAAAAATACTACTGCCTCTTCTTTCAAGATTTTGTTTCTGAGTTCAGCTGTCAATATTAGGATGATCCAAGCAGTCTCTGAGGTGATTTCTTTACCAGTCTGGGTTTAAGTGTTTTATTCCACAATAAAATCACTTGTTTGAATTTCTGGTTAGGAAAATGATGGCCATTGTAACAAAATGTTAAAACTGGTACCCATTCCAGTGTGCTTCTTGCAGATTGAGCAGCCTTAGTTTTTTCATCCCTAAACGTGATGCATTACTGTTATCCTAAACGTGGGTAATAGTAATGCATCATTTCAGAGTTGTACGTGAATGTGAAGTTACTTGGTAAACTGAAAAGGAATGTATACATCATTTTTGATATTTACTTTACGAAATAGGTTTTATTAGGAAATCTAGCAAACTTCAACTGGAATTACATCTGCAATTTGGTATAAGAAAAACCATGGAGTACGATCAGAGGCAGTCTAGAGGAACATAGACTCTGACTATAGCGGGCATGATTAATTCAAACATATATTGCCATTCGTTAAGCTCATACTTTTGCTGGCCATTGTTCTGTCTACTTTGCATAAGTCCCTTAGTTCATGTAATTTTCTTCTAACACCTTTGCAAGTATAAATATTATCATGCATATTTTGGAGGTGAAGTAGGTCATACTATCTCCTTTTTAAGATGAGACCCTAAGGCTCAGAGTTCTAGTACTTATGCCAAGATCATACAGAGTTTGAATTTGAACCCAGGTATGTCTAACTCAAAAGCTTATGTTTTTTCCGCTGTACTAGCAATCAGTTTCCATCACTCTTGATTCAGACAACCAAAAAGGCCCTACTCCCTGGGGAATGCTATACTCAGTAGCCTACTTAGCCTATAGGAGCAGGGGTGGCTTCTATCTCTCTCTCTCTTTCTCTCTTCTTACTTTCATGCACTCAACTAATATTTACTGAATGCTATATTGTCTGCAAGCAGTATGCAGGGTCCTAAGGACAAAATAGTGAGCTTTGAGAAATTAATATGGTCCTTTGGAGACCCTTCTTTCCTTTCTGGGCACCAGCTCTAGGAAGATAGTTTTGCTGGCTCCTGTCTCTTTTCAGGCCCTTAAATGCCACAAGACCACTTCTAAGTTCTAAACTTATGGTGTGGTACTTTGGAGTGCTACCACATTTTAAGACACTTTCGGTAACTGCAGAGTTGGCCACTTTGAAGCCCTGTCTTTCCAGTGTTTGAATGCCACTCTTCATGAATCATCCAGCAGTATTTATTGAGTGGCTTTATCGCGGATCATTGCTTGGTGGGCCTCCAAGTCCTGATCAGTTCCTTAGTGTTCAGATCGCAAGTGTGCCATATCCGTGTAATGGACAAGATCATCTTTGATGTCTGTTTCAGCTCTGG